ATGAAGGAAGGGATAGAAGGAAGGAGAGAGAGCGCGATTTAGACACAAAGGGAAGAAGCACCAAGAAATAGACAGAGCAGAGCGAGATAGGAGAAGACGGGGAGGGGGAGGAGGTAAGGGGAGCCATATGTCGTGTGCCAGCGCCGCACACACGCTACAAGGATTAGATGTCCAAGAGCGCACTCGTTTGCTCTATGCGTAAAAAGAAACAGATGAAATAAAATGGATGCCGCGGCGGGGAGCTGGTGCCTTATGCACCGTGTCCTCGTCCCTGACTATAGCTAACTTATTCTCTTCCCACATAGTTCATCATCGAATCATGACTCACTCTAGTTATCCCGCGCCCGTTAACGCAGTGAATGTTTACGGGACCTGAGGCACGCAATAATAGGCGTGCGCCGCCCGTCCGCAGACTACAATAGAGACGGGCACACGAGATTGCGGTACAAATACACGATGCCCAACTGGCACTATATATATTGACCGACGCCGTCATCTCTGGGACATTTAGCACGAAGCCAAATTCTGTTTACTTTGCATATAGGTCAACAGCTCTGTGTTATTTTGATAGGAGAGTTGCCGTGGATTGCCGCAGAGTCAAGAAGTCGCCGAACGTCGGCGAGAAAGTGATGGCGACGCGGTATTTAAAAGCCCAAAGCAAAATATCGCCACGGTGCTCGAAAGATGGGTTATGCGCGGGCCGACTGACGGGGCGTTTTAACGAAACGCTTCCACACACACACGTGATATATGAGTCACGCGTAATTTCATACGATATGTATTTAGGTTGTACTGTAACATTCGATACACTCGATGCGTGAATTTCGGGGTCTCTTAGGGACGCCGATCTGCCACATCTGAACACTCAGGCAAATTGCATGTCCGCTAAAAACATAAGCTTACGCAAATAAACACGAGATTACGTGCGTAACTAGAAGGTGGTCGGTTATATTTATAGATTGGTTTAGTAGCTCGAAACGCAGCTGCTTTTTCTTGCACGTTTCGATGTTTTCTCCGCTAGCAAATTAGTTATTGTTGTTCAAAAAAGTCGCTTAAAAAAAAAATTCAATGGTGCGTAATCTGACTGTGGTCACGTGTATGATCGTCGAATCGCACCCGCGCGGCTTCACCACTGACAGTAAAACTCAAAACACATTCACGACTGCGGGACCGTCGGAAAAGTAGTTAGTCGCGACTTAGTTGATTCGCCGTGTTAGAAAATAACCTTGTTTTCTCTGGAGACGGCAGCAGCAAATCAGGATGGGCTGGAGAATAAGCTACGGTCTTACATGCAGCGCCCATCAATATCCTATCACTAGGTTGTATCCGCCTCGCTTCTCTAACTGCTATCACTCTGTTCCTTTCTCTGACTTTCGTTCTCTCCCTTTCTCTCTTTCTCACTTCCTTCATTTCTCTCACTCTCTCTATCACGTACACGCACGAACACACTCGCGATCCCTCTCTTTCCGTCCCCCTCCCTCTCTAATATGAACATTGTAGTAAACTTACGGTATGTGAGTGAAATGCAGTACGACGAAAATAAATAAACAAATAATAATAATAAAAATAATATTAATAAAAAGAAAGCTCGTGTACTTACTCGGCTGCTTCTAGTGACTTGCTTAGTGTCAGAAATACACAGTTTACCAAAATAGTTAGTATCACAAAATAGTCGAAATATCTGAACAATCGTTTAAGGAAAAACACGTAAAACAT